ATGGCGGGACACAAGCGGACGTTGCTGACTGGGAAGTATAGTCATAGTTGCACCTCGTCACGATAACAACCTTGGAAGGGACACATAACCTAAAAATAACTTTTTTTTACCTTTTCTTTTTATTGTACATTTATAGTTAGCCTACTCTATATTTTCACTCGAGTTGCTCTTAATTTTAGGTGAGCTATCTCTCGGGATATTACGGTATATATATATCTATTTTTTTTTTTTTTCGATCGACCTGGAATGAAAGTATACGGATAACCCGGTTACGACGATGGCCAGGCGGATTTTTTAAATATATATATTGCTTAATCTATCTGATCCTCAGAATATTCAGAGCGTACGATTTTAATAAAAACACTTTTTTTTTTTTAGGGCAGCGAGAGGCGAGTTTCCTTGTCACCATGTATTTATGAGGCTTTTTTTAATTGTTGGTCTTGGGGGCTATGTTGCCATCGCAGTATCGACAATTACTATTAGAGGCCAGGTCAATTGTTAAAATTCTAACCGTTTTTTTTAATAATAATTGATAAATTTTCACGTTTGTTAACCTGATTTATACATTAAGCGCAAAAAGAGCGCCGCGTACCTGGCTCACAAACACGCTTAGAAGAGGGACGTCGTTTCAGTCACGCCGTCACTTCTGTCATCGGCGCACAGGCTGACGAAGGAGTGACGACAGGTTTGAAATGACTACCTCACTTTTCAAAGCATCATTGTGAGCAAGGGTTGCGGCGCTCTTTTTGAGCGCAATTTTTAAATCGGGTTTAAAAAGATGCGAAAATAAATCAATATATTAGAAAACATTTTCTTTTATTTTGTTTATTGGTGTGGCAGTGTATTAACTGATTTTAGTTAACGGCCAAATTATCGTGACGATGATCCCCTCATTTAACGTTTGCTGAGCCTGATAAATACATGGTAAAGACGGAGCTCGTCTTCTTCTCATCCCCTTAAAACGAAATCTGTAAGAGTTAAAATTAAACACTTTGTATAAGTGACAATTAGACAAAAGATAAATGTATGGTACATCACGCTGCTCAACTTAATGTGATTATATAGTCATAAGAAAGCCGTCCTTACACCACCCTAGATAGACATTAGAACAATAATTAAAGGCTTTACGTTGGCTGGACGAAAATTAACCCCTATACAGTCAAATCTCGTAAATTCAAACTCGAAGAGGACCGAAAATGTGTTTGAATAAAGCAAAGTTTGAAATATCGGGAGTATCCCTCCATCGAGACACATAGGATGGGACCTGCATGTTAGTTTGAATTATCCGGAAGTTTGAACTAAGAGAGTTTGAATTAACGAGATTCGACTGCACTACTACTACTACTACTACTACTGCTACTGCTACTACTACTACTACTACTACTACTACTAATAATAATAATAATAATAATAATAATAATAATAATAATAATAACATAAACTGTTTATTTTTACTCCCAAGGAATGTGGAGGGCAGGGGAAAAAGCTGCAGTCGCAGCTTGACAAGGCCCCTCCTCCCCCGGCACTTGGCATACACCGCAGGAATACACTTCAAATCAAATACGCACTCCAAATTATCAAAAAATTTGAAATCGAAAAACAGATATCTGGGAAAGTAACAATAACGCATACATTATGGATACATACAAAAAATACGCACGGATTGATATAACAATGAAGCAAAAGTGGAAATTAATAATCAGTAAAGAATACTTTTTTTAACAGGAATACAAGGTACGTAATGAAAATGCAATTATACAATTTTGATTATACAAAATAGGTTCGGGGAAACTTCAATATAAATCAGCTGTAAAATGTGTAAAATATCTATTTTTACTACCTCCAGATTAAAATTTATTTTCCTTAAGTCACAGGTAAAAAAAAAAAAAAAAAAAAATAGCAGCGGTTATGGAAGAATACGATTCAAAAGGATCACATAGATAACTCAACAACCGCCGGCAGATGCAGGAGATTTCGATAACATTGATTCTAGGAATTCCCATTTCCCGCGAGACATCATGTTTAGTGCGATCATTATTTTCGGAGACAGCTCGAAAGAACATCACCACCTTATGATAGATCTATTTTGTCCCAGGCTATGGTGAGGTTCGTGATTAAAGGAGCTCCTCTCTGCCCACGAATTTTTCTTTAAAAGATATACAACTTAAAATTGATTATTAACGTTCAAAAATAAATTTAGAAACTAATGTCAAATATGTTTTATTACCTTCACACGTCAAACGAATACTATGGAGATTTGTTTTAATGACACGGGGATTCTAGGAATTAATGAGGCCGTGTACGATAATGTATGTGCTGCCAATAGCGGTCCAAAATATATAGGTATACATCTTTCAGTTCGTCCCGCGGGCGGCCAACAATGAAGAAGTTTTCTTGCTTTGCGCTGTTTCTGGTGACGAACCTTTGTGTTTCTGGCAGAAGCATACGCAGTGAGCCTTCTACCTTCAGCTGCGCACAGTCTGCGGTTCCCAGTTATAAAACAAAACGTTTCGTAGAGGACGAAGCAATAGAATTACCTCCCTTCCATTGGCTTTCTTGAGGAAGGAAAGTGTATCTGCCATATTTTACATTAAAGTATACACAGTACTCGCCAAAACTTATGGGAAACACAAGGACTTCCTGTTTTCTCATGGCAGCGCTACTTTAGATGAGGCTGAACAACGGTTTCTTGACTTTAACACCTCGGGATGGTTTGTCAAGTGCGACGTCACGAAACCGTTGCTCGGCTGCCGCAAGAATAACGTTCCCAAGAGAAAAGACATAGTCTGCGAGTTCCGTCTAAGTTTGGTAAGGTCTCTACCTCTGCTTTGAAATGTCGCGAATGCAAAACCATTCTTAAGAGTCAAAGACTTTCGAAGAAACCGCGCACGACAGTGGCGTACACCGGGAAAGGGATTGGGGGGGGGGGGGGGGGGGGGGGGGGGGGGGGGGGGTTCGAAGAGGTGAATCTTTAGACGAACCCCCCCTAAACAAAAAGAATGACGAAAGGACCAGAAGACGCTCATCCCTATCCTTGGAACTGGGAAGAAGTGATTCAACCTAAATCTATTCGCTTTTTTTTAGGGTGTTTTATGTGTTTATTATTGCCGAGTCTCGTCCTTATATCGCTCATCGTTAGTAGAAAGGTCTCACTATATTAGAGGGAGGGACAGATGCAGATATAAACAATTTACCGAAAGCAAACACCCTCTTCTCATCCTCCTTTCTTTTTCAACAATTTGCGCCGCCGTCGTCAAGTTATTTCAGTGCTTCATTGAAGTTCAGTGTTCTTTGCGAGCGGCTCTCTTTCTTGTTTGTCTCCAGTGGCGTACCAACTTGTTTTTTAGTTAGGAAGCAAACCGGACCCCCCCCCCCCCCCCCCCCCAGTGCCGGGGGACGGTTCCCTTGGTATCCCTTGGGCGCCGCCGGCCAGTGTTTTCCCTGCCCAGTGGCGGCTGTTTCAGGGGTGGCAAAACACATGCCTTGTCCCCCCCCCCCCCCCCCCCCCTTCCCCCGGTTGGTACGCCCATGTTTGTCTCATTTTTTTGTGAACATTTTACAGCTGGGTTTAGGACATAATGGTCGTGTACAAAATGATCCCGGATAAAACGGCCACGGACAAAATGGTCCCGCACAAAATCCCGACTGCAAACACGGACGGAAATGATCCCAAGTGGTTTGTTGAAACTTTGGGCACTCTTTGCAGTTTTAGTGAATTGAAGCTTCATTCAATACACGAGTAAGGTATACTTTAATGTATTTAATGTTTTTGTTATATGTGTGAGGAAACAACTAAAGTTAAAAAGTTAATTTAAGTTATATTATAGCTCCTTTGGCTCCATGACTCCTATTCGCATAGGTCAGAGCACTGTATAAAGCTGGAGATTGGAAGCCACTAGACAAGTAAACACGCACACACTAAAAGCGCGAGGTCATGATGCACTCTACGATTGATTGAACCAGCTGGTAATAACATACACAAAAAAGACGACAAATGACATTAGTACTTTCTGTTTTCAGCACCGTTTGATTAGCCTTATCAGCTCGTAGGGCCAGCTGCATTGTGACTTTAGATTATAAATGCGGGAAGAAATTTTTTGAAAAAAATCCAACAGTATGTTTTATTATTTCGAACTAACACACGCTGCAAGAAAACGTATGCACATGATGATTGACATTATCATGCACATACTACATATATGCAATGGCGTGCATGCAGTCGTGTATCGCTACTGCGTGAAGCACGTCAAAGGGACAGTGAGCATGAACTCAGTTTAAAGAAAGCTGTGCTGCCATAGAACTCAACCCACTCCAAACTGGTAAAAAGAGGCATTGGAACTTCGTGTCTCGGAGCCTCTTTGACGAAACCCAGCCCTGATGAAATGGGAAGCAGCTTCCAGAGACAGGTCGACCAACTCTTGAGCGGGGTTCCCACACCAGACGTTGATTGACGTTGCAGGAAGGCCTAAAAAGGAGCTCATAGGCTCCAAGAAGAGCCCCCGAGAGCGCTTGAGGCAAAGGCCGGCAATAATTTCTTACATACATACCTTATCTCACAACTTAAAAAAAAAAAAAAAAATGCTGAATGTTATGATGCCTTGGTAGTGCTTTCTGCTCCAAATAAGCTATCTGGCTTGTGCCGAAAAATGAATCTCTCATCTGGGGAGGCATTTATGGCAAATGAACGTGGTAATTGTCGGCATAGCAACGTCTTTGGAATACTATAGTGGATTACCTTGACTCAACCGGCCGGATATTGATAGCACACAGGAGCAGACAGCGTCCCGATAGACCTTTTTAATAAATTTCCCAAGCACCAAGGTGCATGCCACGAGCAACGAGTGTAGTTACAAGCGCTGCAAGTGCTGGCATCTGCAGTAGCAATTAACTGTTCTAAAGCAAAAGCCTAAAACAAATTTTGCCTTGCACGCGCGTTCGTCAAAGCCTTATCATGATTATTTACTTCCCACTCTACAATCGCAGAGATTCCAAACAGTGACTTCAGCAAACAAAAACCTTTATTCTGCCCAATACAACCTACGGTGGACTAAAACATGACTGGTAAAAGTGAGCCGCAGAAACGCTTTGATAACAGCATGGAGGGTGTCCCTATTGGTGAATTTTAAGACTACAGATTGCAACGGCACCAGAAGCGGATTGGTCACTTCTTGAGCACCTCTCCTCCCTTCTCGACCCAGTCACAGAAGCTGCCTCTATAGAAGCGGGCCCTAGTAAGAAGAAAAAAAACACATCATGTCACAATTTCATGAGCAACAAACATGACACTAGGTGCCACATTCAATGTACTCACATAGCACATAGCTTCCATACGTTTAAGGCTATTAAGCAGCCTCATACCGAGATGATACCTTGGCTTTTAGAGAATGAGTTCACATCAAACTGGGGTGGTTTCATACTTTCACTGATAGTTACAAAACGTGAACGATAATCGAGTTGCAATTTAAAGGGCCCATGAAACGAATTTTGGGCTAAAATAAATCCATTTATATTGGGATTTTACTAATAGCACATGGTTCAGTGGGCCAAAACAAAAAAGGCAGAAAGTCAAAAGCCTAACTTTCGGTACGCAAATTTGAAAACACTGCGGACTATTTCGTACCTCCTTCCCTTCGTAAGCTCTCCGCCTTTTCACTGGGATACATCCGCGGACCCCGCAGCGCGTCACCGGCTCCAAACGCACGTCACACGACGCCGGACCTCACTTATTCCCTGCACCCCTAAGCTGACATTGTGGTGGAAGCGACGCGCTTGCCGGACCAATCAACCGCCCCCCTTTCATCACCTGACTTCATTCTCTGCGCGCGGGTATGCGCGAGAGAGCGAGATCACCTGGCAGAAGTGTGGCTGGCCCAAGGAGCACGCAGCTTCCACAGCACTGTCAGCTTCGGGGTGAAAAGCAAGTTTGGTTTGAATTTTGAGCGACGGGCTAATCTTCTATAAAAAAAAGTCGGAGCGTCGGAGCTAGAGGAGACTCCCCCTTTCCGTCTTCTTGGACGGTTTGGAAGAATGCGCGATTTATGAGTTGAGGAGGAAAGTTAAAACAGGAAAAAGTTGGAAAAGTGTTTCATGACTCCTTTAAACTGCACCCCTCCTCCTCCTCCGTGAGAAACTAAACCTTCGAGTCCTCCAGCTATGTGGGTAATGGTGGCAAGCATTTCTAGCACATGTATGTATTAGTGACACTCGTGAGCTTCAAACTTAAATGTGCACCTTCTGAAGGTTAATTTTCACACTGCTATGTTTACACAGGGTGTCTAGCAAATTATTATTTTGAAATTCCCCGACTTCTCCAGGGTTTCCCTGACAATTTAAGGTGAAATTCCCTGACCACTGTAAAGGCGGCTAAATATATAAGACCATTTCAACAAAAGGCATTGAGCAATGAGCACTATAAGCGTCATTTTGCATGGGCTTAATCCAACTTGCATATCCCGAAATATTCGGGTTCTTCCAGTCCGGATTAAATGAGCACTTTCTTACCACCGACATCGTCAGTGAAGAGGCTACTACCGGAAACACAATGAAAACACAACGCTCAACCACACACGTCAATGACCGAATGGCAGCATGGCGCGTGGCCGCTGGGTGTACACTTTTGGATTTTTTGGCTTAATGCTTGGATTGGATTGAGATCTGCAGCTTTCCCATTTGTTACAAAATCTAGTAGCTCTAACTGGATCAAGCCTAGTATCGCGCCCCCGATCCAAACCAATCCAAGTCTCGGACTGGATTTGTCGGCTGTTCTTTTTATATCGGGTAGCACACTCTACATCGGATGAGCAGAACCCGCGCTCCGCTCTAAGCGGAATTGATTGCCTATTTTTCTGCTTCCAAGTCCTCAAGCCTTTGCTCAGGGTACTCGATGGCATTTCTGGCTCATTTTCCCTGACTGGGCTAACTTTTTGACAATATCCCTGACAATTCCACAATTTTTTCCGGTAATTAAAATTTCCCTGACAATTCCCGGATTTCCCGGTCGCTAGACATTCTGTAATACAGCTAATAAAAACTTAACACAAACGAGAAATATTGCTTCTCTGCAGAGCATCGACGAACCGTGAGAAAGTAACCACTCTGGGTCCCAGGAAAGCCCAAACCAAGTAACTGAAGCAAAGAATATGGCTATACGGTACAAGGATCCATAGTCCCACAGTGGCTAATATAAAGAAAAAGAAAAAAAGAAAGGAGTCCAAGCAGAGCACCCACTTGTGGTATCCCTTGGAGTGTGCCGTCTGCATTGCATTGGTTGCGCGGACACCCTTACGACAGGAGAAGATTAGGTTGGGGTCGTCTTGAGAAGGCTTTTCCCGGCCGTACCTTTCCTTGAACTTTTCCGCCGGAAGACTCAGTGCCGTACCCACGTCATTCACTGCAAAAGCGAGGCGACGGCGTCTATAGTCGGTAGCAGGCCAAGGATGTAGCTGAAGCCCAACCTTCAACAAGTACTCGTTGCCTTCTGCCAGGCTTCAGATGCGCGTGCGACAAAGAAAGTCAAAAAGCTCGCTGTGGAGGCAGAGCATCTACTGCAATTTTTTTACTTGTCTTTGACTATAACCACATTACTCAGTCAAGAACAAGGTGGGCATAAATGTAATCGGGGGAAATTCCAAACTATTCTATCGTGAACCATTTAGTGCTGGCCACTCGCTACTTGTTTTTTGGGTCGGATTGGAGGCAGCCAATGATACTCGTTCGCTCCACCGACGCCTAATGGTTAATGATAATGTAGTGATTGCGCAGGCGAGCTGGTGGATGTTAACCATTTTGTTCTTAGCCCGAGACTGAGGCAGGAAAAGAGGAAAGTTTCGAAGTAGAAGAAAAATGAACAGTCGAGGACACGTCTCTAACACAGCTAAAGACAAGTTTATTTGGTCACCTTCTTATATACACTCCACAAACTTCACCACAGCACTTTCCCGATCTCGAAAGCCAAAAGATAACAAAGGTCTCACATCTTTCCACCACAATTGTCAAACGACCTTGACGTTTTCCACAAAGCAATGAACAATAGCTCCCCTCATCCGGAAGACACTTGTGAATCCTTCGCGTACACAGTACACTCTCTCCCTCTACTCTCCGACCCATAATCACAAAGCATCCCGTTAACAGAAGATATCAATCCACGTGATACACAAAGGAAGAAACCACTTACACCTTCACATTCAACAAGCACTTCACAAAACTTTCAAATCCGCAAGAATGATTTTGCGCTGCTGCTAAGCTGTAACGACACCTGACTAATGCAGTTGCCCATTGATTTCATTCTTATTGTTTCTTTTACAACCCTTTTGATGTTGTTTAACTCCCTGTGTATTATCTCTGTTTCAGACCAGTGGGGTATACAATTATTACATTCTTGAACATGTTTCGCTATTTCCGAATTGGCAACGTTGTTTTTGACATTCCTTTTGTGTTCAGTCAATCTGTCATTTATACACCTTGACGTCTGCCCCACATATTTAAAGCCTATTCCGTGTGGTAATGGAGTGGTATATGAAATCCCCCTGGAATGTGGCTTTAAATATGTGGGGCAGACGTCAAGGTGTATAAATGACAGATTGACTGAACACAAAAGGAATGTCAAAAACAACGTTGCCAATTTGGAAATAGCGAAACATGTTCAAGAATGTAATAATTGTATACCCCACTGGTCTGAAACAGAGATAATACACAGGGAGTTAAACGACATCAAAAGGGTTGTAAAAGAAACAATAAGAATGAAATCAATGGGCAACTGCATTAGTCAGGTGTCGTTACAGCTTAGCAGCAGCGCAAAATCATTCTTGCGGATTTGAAAGTTTTGTGAAGTGCTTGTTGAATGTGAAGGTGTAAGTGGTTTCTTCCTTTGTGTATCACGTGGATTGATATCTTCTGTTACCGGGATGCTTTGTGATTATGGGTCGGAGAGTAGAGGGAGAGAGTGTACTGTGTACGCGAAGGATTCACAAGTGTCTTCCGGATGAGGGGAGCTATTGTTCATTGCTTTGTGGAAAACGTCAAGGTCGTTTGACAATTGTGGTGGAAAGATGTGAGACCTTTGTTATCTTTTGGCTTTCGAGATCCGGAAGGTGCTGTGGTGAAGTTTGTGGAGTGTATATAAGAAGGTGACCAAATAAACTTGTCTTTAGCTGTGTTAGAGACGTGTCCTCGACTGTTCATTTTTCTTCTACTTCGAAACTTTCCTCTTTTCCTGCCTCAGTCTCGGGCTAAGAACAAAATGCCTAATGGTTGGTTAGTGCGATTGGTAAAAAGCTCTGGTAGTTATGGAACAGCCCCAGGAGGAAAGTCTGGACTATGTGGACTTTACCAGCTGCGCAACAGTCGCTTAGAGTAAGGGCACGGGTTGAGCTACCCCATAAACGGATGTATATCAGTTTATCCACGAGACATTGTGCAAATGCTGGTGCTGACTTCCTGGGGTAGGGGGGGGGGGGGGGGGGGGGGGGGGATCTGAATTCTATTCAGACTCTTTTTTTTTTCAATAGAACCCCCCCCCCCCCCCCCCCTAGACATGTTGTAATATAACCACCATTCTTTATTCCTGCATTTTCTATTTTGTAAACTGTGGGGCAAAACAAATGTTCTGCTGTTGGAACTTGTCTGCCTGTTTAAAATTCTAAATCTCAAGACAGGATGAACAGTACTCAAGACATTATTGGTGTCATGACGCATGGCTACAGGTTCCTCAAAAATTCATGCTAGCAGAAAATTCAGCAAAAAGAATTGTTTCATGGTCTAGTCTAAAGCAATGCTTAAGAGTGGTGCAGAAGAATTTGAGACTGTGTATTTTAGGGAACAAAGAAAAGAGGTAACGTCGTGACATCAGCTTCAACTTTATTCTTGTCTGTTTCACAGTGCCCCATACGAAATGCCACATAACATTTAACACACATTCTATATGGATGATACATGTACTTAAAATAAAAAACCTTCTGAAAACCTCATAGTAACAGCTGATGTTATGCTGAGAAACTAGGTTGAAGAAGCCCAGTCTCTCAGCCAAATGTCAATTGCTGCAGTGAGGCTTTCAGGAGGTTGACGAGTCCTTCCCACTAGTCTTGACTAGCTTTGCGATTTTTTTTTAAAGTAATTGTGTTGCGTGTATGTGTTAGGCAGCAGCGAGTTAGTCAGCCCCAATGGGAGTCTAATGTCTCTGCTGTAGATGAGAAATTTCTGCCACTGGAGTACCACTGCAAGCCTGAGGTCTTTACTGTGCCTCTCTAGTTAGTAACACATGAACACGCACCGGTACGATGCTCATCCAGATCGAAACGGGCAGGGGTGGGGATTGAGTCCAGGATCCATAGGTTCTGCAGTGCAAGCTTTCACTCTACGCGCTCCGAGTTGCGGTAAGCTAAAATGGCTGACCACCAATCCCTCTGGTTTCTCCAATACATTTATTGTTACAACGATATCCGATTGGTGTTCCGATCCCCCTGGTGTCTCAGATACATTTATTGTCACAATTTTATCTGATTGGTGTTCCGATCCCCCTGGTGTCTCTGATACATTTATTGCCACAATATTATCTGATTAGTGTTACTTGTTTGCCATTCAGTTAACAGTAACAAACAAATACCACCACATAATGTTAGAAAGAAGTTTAGAAAAGAACCTAATATATTAAAGTGCTGCAAATATTCCAAAAAAAAAACAGTGATATGATTGATCTGAGTCATTTTGGAGCAGCTTTTAGAGCAACAAAAATAACTTTTGTAGATTCATTTTTATTCATACCAATGCACACATTACTTAAACACTAATGTGTCGGCCTGTCATTGCCTTCTCATTTATTTGCAACCCTTTAGTAGCATCAACTGCACAGCAGGAGAGAGTCCCTTACAGAAAACTAGAGTTTAGTTGCATGGAGAAGCACCAGACAGGGTGACAAAAAGGTGAGTGATGATGCACAGCACAAGCTGCTGTGAATGGATAGTTTAGGTACTGAATCCCACTGAAATAATACAACAAATATTAAGCACGTAAATTAATGTTTCCTTCGAGTTCTAGAAGTTGTAATAAAACTGCAATTCATAATTCAGATTAAAAAAAAACAAAGCACCTATGATTTGATTATGAATGTCAATCACATTTTCTGTGTAGTACCTCTTAACAAAAATGGCATGTGATTGAAACCTAAAAATAATCCCGCCACTTTTCCTTGGGCTTCCACCCACTGCTCCTGCCAATTTAGTTCTAATTTACTCACATCTATATAAAAGTGATAACTAAACAAATGAGTTGGTACAAATTAAAAAGAAAAAGAGTGCACATAAATCTTTTTGCAGTACCAAAGTATCCTTGCTAAATCCCGAAATGGAAAAAGGTACCTCCAGGATATCGCAGTCTATCATATATACAAGCCGAAGTTGCGCATTCAAGAATTGTGTCGCGTCGCGTCTCGCTCTGGGGGGTTCCTTTTCCCTTAGCACGGAGGTGCGCTGAGGGGAAGCAAGACACGCAAAATCGCGATGCCTACTCCGCGGTTTTTGCTTCTCCGCAGTACACCGGTGCGCGGTGAGAAGCGCACTCAACGAAACTAACTAACCCTCCAGCAGAACAGACGACAAACACGAAAATTATTGCGGAACTTTTGTAGTATTGTCAGTCTTCCATACGACATGCGACCGAATAGTATGCTATTTGAGACGATAATCAAAAGTTCAAAAAACTCGCATAAGTATATCCTAGCGGTCTGGCCGGGCAGCGAGGCTTGAGCTATTATATTTTCAGTATTATTAAAGTGGAATTAATTTTTAGCGCAACGTTAGTGCAAATTCCTCACATTTTCGCAAAATGTAGCGGGAGGTAGCAGGATAAGCACCTTGGTGCAGTTTGGCGCAAATGGGGCTGCAATCACATCACTGCACAAAAGAGCCTGCAATATTGTTATCATTTCGAAGACATCTTAACAGACATCGGAGCATTTTATACAACTTTCTTTTGCACGCTCGACAGTTTTGCCTATTTTGCCAAGTGTGGGTATTGGGAACACTTTGTGGGCACGAAATATCGCAGTTGGAAGTCGTACACGTTACGTATTTGTTACCGTAGAATAATACATTGGCCTGATCTATTGTTTGCCATATTTTTCGATTGTACAAATCTCGCAAAAATTAGGTCCCCCTCAAAAATTAGGTCAACATTATTAAAAGAAAATGCGTGTACAATCAATGGGAAATAGAAGATAGGACCATGCAGACGATAAGTGGACTCACGAGGAATGTTGACGGCACCATTGATGCGGCCATCGTTGACAAGTTCATTTGGCTCCCTGACGTCCACAAAAAAGGCCGTGCCTTTCTTCAGCAAGTCCCTGACCTCCGCAAAATCAACGCCTGTTGGGGAAGAGCAGGTGCTCGAATCACCCGTTTTGATGGAATACGTGTGGCCACAGTAGCGTAATGAGTGGCAGGGCAATTATGGGTACAGCAGCATTTTGAAAGAATAAAATATTGAGGCTCTTAGTTGCGAAGCAACTGATGCTATCAGAGATGCCCTAAAGGCTCCTGAAAGAACAAACTCCCGAGGGTTTGAATCAAGCCCTCCGCTTTCAGCTCTGGAGGACAAAGCACATCATTGTGTTGCGCTGATCGAACTAACCGCATATTATAGGAACAGCTGAACATGTCACTTCTAGTCACTAACAAGGTGAGGGTGGCAGGGAGGAACTTCAGTTGTCCCACCCCCAGCGCAAGCTTCATACCCTCGACAGTGCTCAAGCATCTGATAACTGAGTGTGCGCACACAGTCAAAGCAGGGCAAAGGGCATGGACCACGTGCTGGAGGCCGGGCATTGGATAGACACGACCTGCTGTTCTCACACTCTGTCAGTGACTGTAGTCAATATCTGCAAAAGTTAGAGAATCCTATGGCACAGGCAACCGAACTACAAGGCGTATCTTAACTCCGAATCGGCTACGCTATACTATAGTCACTGAATCTCACTTTGCCAGACAACAGCCCACAAGAATCTAATTTTCCATAAGGGCTGAAATGCCTGCTCTGTATAATAGACCTGTTGCTAAACTACCCAAGCATCGAGGAGAATGCAGGTATTGGTGTTCCATGCGCCACACGCGCACGCCTTCTTCGTATAAAAGATTCAAAGTAAATAACTAACATAAAGCGTTGACGAGTGCACGTGTAAGATGCAGTTTGTTTTAGGTATATGCTTTAGAAAATTTACTACCGCTGAGGCCAGCACGTGCGGCGCGTGGAACATCAATCAAATTTGGTGGTTTTACGTGTCAAACCAACGATGGGCATCTCGCACGCCCCAACGGAGGACTGAGGATTAATTTGGACCACCTGGGGATCTTTTGACGTGCAACCGAAAACTCGGTTACACGGCGCCTTCTCCACAATAAGCCTCCGTCATATTGCGGGCACCTCGGCCGGGATTCGAACCCGCCGCATGGGGATCCGTAGGCCGGCGCTTTCGCCTCGGAGGCACCGAGGCGGCCGCGTGGAACACCAATCCCTGCATTCTCCTTGATGCTTGGGTAATTTAGCAATAGGCCGATTAGCATATGTAATGCCGGTCTGGATAATTAGCATATGTATAAATCTTTCATGCACTATGTCCCCTTACAAGGACCCTGAAAAGAAAAAAATTTTTTTTAGACAGTCTGGTTGGGACACGCAAGCCTAAAAATAAATATTACGCGAAAAAAAAAAAAATTTTTTTTTAGACCAATATTGACGGCGAGAGATTTATTTGAAATTCTGCACGCGAAGTCCATGACGTCAAGACACTCATTCCCGAATGACCATCTTGGTCGTGAAGTAAGCCGATCCCCCTCTCCTCCATGCATCCGAAACGCCCAGAGGGAAGACTACTGTAAAGGAGGTGACTGTCAACTAAATCAAGTCTCGCGCCGTCAATATTGCTCTAAAAAATTTTTTTTCAGCGTAAAATTGACTTTTTGACACGCGTGTCAAAAACAGAAGAAAAACTTCTTTTCCTTTTCAGGAGCTTTTTAAGGAAAATACTTGACGACTGTATATAATGTCCAAGACGTAAAGAGAATAAAGCTATGCAGCTCTGTAGACAACCTGCAGGACAGAAAAGCCAAGCAAAAACAGCTTCACCTCCGTCAGTCATGCCAGTAAAAACTTCCAGGCACTCTTCGCAATAACAGCAGGTTTGGGTCATCCATTCGTGTTGCTTCTCTTATATACATGCAGGACACTTCCTCTTTCTCCTCCTTTTTCATTCCACCAAATTGCTCTCCAAATAGTAGTCCAAAAAGACCATTGTCACATCGCCAAGGACGAGGCACAAAAGACGTCGAACGGCACGTGCCTCCTTTTCGGTGCATGTTAAGACCAACGGGTGTAATGAAGCATATCAGAGGTCATTAATACCCCTCGCAATCTGACCCTCGCTAATGAGCGTCCCAAAATGGAGAAAGGGAGCTCATTTTATTAAACGAGTTAAACACAATGAAAAAACAAAGGACCAACAAAACAACTCACACAACTTCTCCAGCAAAGCGGCATCTGTCCCAGCGTCGGTAGAGTAGGTTGCTGTGTCAACAACAAGGATGACAAATAAAGAGGGGAACTTCAAAGCGGGGTAATGGGAAAAGATATGGATTCAAAGGCGGTCTTAATTACGCAGTTGGCACATCGATGGCGGCCCTGTCCCCCACGACAGCATCATTGCTTGCCTCTGGTTGCAGCTGGATGAATTGACCGGGGCAGTAGCTTGACCTGGCTTCAGAAAACATGCTCCAAGCCCTGCATGACAAATAAGCATCTTTTTATAGTTGGCTAATGGTAGGGAAGAACTAGAGAAAGGAGCATGAATGGCAGGCAGAGAGGTTAGACGAGGTACATATGACCCTAGCTGCCTACTCTAAACTGAGGAAGGAGGGAGGAATGAAAAAAAAAATAAAAATCTACATCTTGTTATGCCTACAATTTGTTTCACTTTATGTGCAAGCGAAGCCAAAGATACAAGCACTATTTTGCCCTGAATAATGCTCGCACTGCACAAGCACATGTGCTTGGCAGGGCCGCTGAAAGCCTGGAGCTCGGTCCTATGTGGAGAGCAAGTTGTCTATTTCTTTTGCAGGGGTTGCAGCACCATGGGTTGCAGTGGCATCAGAACGAAGCCGAGTTCTTATTGAAGGATAGTGGGTAGAGCTCAGAGCAAGCTGCCTTGAGGTCTACCCACAATCCTTTAATCAGAACCAGTCAGAGCTTGGCGTTCTGACGTCATCACAACCCCTACAAAAGCAGCAGACGAACTTGGTCTATGCATAGATTCTGCTATGCTTGCACTTATGTAGGATTCTGTGGGAGGTATTCACTGGCGGCTGTAGGCGAGTCGTGGCATGCTCAACGCGAGCCAACAGCGAGCTTCAACAGCGGTCTTGTAATGAGCATTCCACACCAACAAGATTGCCGGTCTTAGCCACCTATGAGTGTGAGCTAAAGCTGAACATGTTCACTGAACAGCGCACTCAAATATGGTGTCCAGTGAACTTGCAAAAGTGAAGTTGTACCAGCTTTAATAGTGCAAACTTAGCAGAAGCTACAAGAGTAGTTGCCGAGCACTAGCTGCTCGTGTAGCACCAACATGGCTCAGGGCAACATGCTCGTGACTGTCGTTTCGGCTTCGCTCGCGCATAAAGTGAAACGAAGACCTAGTCACGTGTGGATAAGACCAAGATCTCCCGTTTGAGGTCACAGCGTTACCAACGCTGGAAACGTAGTGCCAGCGCCACCTACAACAATCGGAGCCTGTGCACTATAGTTTTGACGTCACCACAGCGAGATTGCGCGCAGACACCGACTGGATAGGAGTGCTGCGTAAGCATTCGGTTGGTCCTCCTGTCCAATCAATGCTTCGAAGCACGCTCGACCCCGATTGTCCCACTTGATGCCGTCCTAAGGCGATGCTTCACAGGTTTTGATTACTTCAGGTGGTCTTCGTGATAACCAAGACCACCTCGTAACCTGGTTCCGATAGTTTCAGCGTTTTCAAGTTGAAGGGAGAAAAGTCGGCATGCTACCTCTGTTCTGACGGTGGTTCTTCTGATCACTTCGCCGAAGTAAGTTTCGACTAATGACTCTTCCGAAGCTGCGATGTGCCAACTTGTCCATAGTCCGGTGGTTTACAGTTGTAACTTGTCCAACGTTCGTTCGAACAGGTGTTGAGCAGATCAAACCCAATCAATCAGCGTGGGAGCACAAGATCCGAAATTATCCGAAAGCTCTCCACTACACATTCTTCCGCCAGCTCTCCCTCAAATCGAAACTTATGTACGTCCTTAGTTTCCACCAGTGGTTTACGCCAACGATTGTTTACACCATAGTTTAAATCCTACTTTATAAAACTGTTTTTATATAAAATATAGTTTAAACCATTCAAATAGTTTTATATCTACAGTTTGTTTGGTTCAATTGGTTTGGTTTTACATTATGGTGGTTTCCTTTTACTTAGCCAGTTATAAAAAAACGTCTGGCCACACAAACACGTTGCCATGACGATCATGTGCTACTTGTATTTGAATAATAATCTTTGGCTCTTTGATCCTTTGCCATCTTTGCCGCTTGCATTTACTCCCTCTTTGCCGGCCGGTGAGTTTTCAACGGCGACTAGCCGTTTGATTTAGTTAAGCGACTTTTTGTTACCGCTTCCACGTCTCCACAAGTCGACAGCAAAGCAATTTACCATGGGAGGTGAGTAAAGTTCCCACACCACCCAGGCCAGATCTGGCCTAGACGACCTAGTTGAAGATCTCGTAAAATTTTGCTCACTTTTTTGTTTTGTAATGTGCATAAGAACTCAACCGGCGAACTTCGCCGGGGGGCACGTTCGCTTTGCGCGCGACGCATCAGCCACAGTTTTGGCTCCACCCGCATGGCGAACGGCGCCGGCCGAAAGTCGTCGCTTTTTCTCAAGATCCTTTGAGACGTTATGATCAGGTCTTGCCCAGTGTCTCACACTCGCGCACGCGAATAAATTTTGTCGCTTTTGCAGAGTTTTTGTTAACATAGATGCGCTGTCAAACTTATTACAGCTACCGCTATATTTGATTACTCTGCATTTGCTGCGAGGGTCTAGTGAGGTTCTTGAAGAGGTGCCAAGTGGCTCGAGGAAAATCTGGTTCTAAAATCCGCCGATTGGTCGTTTTTTCGAAACCGCTGAAAACAGACCTTCGCAATACGGACGAGAAATAAAAGAAAGAAAACGTTGATGAACGCGCGCGTGAAAAGGAAGTGGTAGGATAAAAAGGACGACGTTTGCGACGGCGTTCCTGCTTCGTTGGTTGAACGTTCGAGGCCCCGTTGCGTTCGTCCACAAAACAAGAAACGTATCATGCGCTACGCTTTGGTGGTCGCCGTTGTGGTCAGTGTCGGCCTGGTCTGGCCTGAATGTGGCAGCACAAGCCGCGTGAAAAAAGCAAAGATGGGTCGTCGTCTTCGGAGTACAGGTACCTAAGTGTTTGGGCTACTACTAGACCGATAAGAGAGCCCATTCTGACCTAATCATTCTTCGAATTGTATCACTGGTAGAGCGTATAACTGGTAGAGGCATAGATTTCTTGTCTTTTGCGTAATTACTAATTGGTAAGAAATCGGGGAATGCAGTGCTGGTTTCCCGTGTGTAGCTGTTTTAGTGGCTCTGATTCTAAGCAGAGGCTGCTATATCAGTTGAGTATATGGAGTCTTTCTTTACCCGGATAGTCTAGGAGTGAGATAATGCACCTCTGAGATAATGGGCAATGCTCACGGTACAGGCTTACAATGAGTCTGCTTATCTCAAGTGCACTCCTTTCAAGAGTAGATCAGCAGAAAGATGCTTTAACCTAGTTTTCTTTGTCTGGCAGAGGTCATGAAGGGCACAGAATCTCGCTTGCAAAATCCAGCCATTTCCTTCTTGTATATCAGTCGAGTTCTTCATGCTCCTCTGCACAGTATGTAGGTTCAGGGTTTCTTCAGATAACATCTGAACAACTTTTTTTAATTAAGACAGTGAAAATTACAAGCTCCTCGAAACGAGTCTGACGATACATGGCACTCATGTGTCCCATTCTGCAGACGTAAAAAACACTGTTATGGTATAGCACCTGCTAATGAAAGTGTCATTCGGCATCTAACCATTCATTCATAATGGCCTTTATACTGTGCTGCTTCTCTGCACCCCTGGCCACCATATGTCACTGCTTCTTATTTATATCAGCATTGTTCAAAAGCCCATACAAGCAGAACACTGGATAGATGTGAAGTTGGTATAACGAAGAAACTAGGTGTTAGAAATGACGGAATATGCGGGTGAACTGGTGAACTTTCAACATCTTGAAAACCTGAAACTTGGGAACAATAAACGGGACAACACACACAAGGGTATGTGTATTGTTCACTTTTCTGTTCTGAAATCTCAGGTTTTCAAGACTTTGAAACTTTATGTGTACCTTCCTTTTTTTTTCTTTTCAAATAAGTTTGTTCTTGGCATATGATTCATCGAAGTGTTTCTTTAGTTGAAAATGTTTCCCGGGAAACATTTTCTCGAGGGTCGCATGTGACGTCACGAGGGTCACCAGTGATGTCACTAAAGTCACCAGTGACAACACAAGTGACGTCAGAATGGTCATGAGTGATGTCACAAGGGTCACCAGTGATGTTACGAGGGCCACGAATGACGTCACGAGGGCCACCAGTGACGTCCCGTTTAACGTCGTGAGGTTCACCAGTGACGTCATAAAGGTCACCAGTAGCAACACAAGTGCAACACGAAAGTCACAAGTGAAGTCACCCTCGTGAAATCACACAGGCATACCCTCCCCTCTCCTCCTCAAAAGCTGCGCTCTAATTCGGCATTACAGAGAATTACAGACGTCTTTCATTTTAGAGCGCAGCTCTTAGGCGCCCGTTTCTGGCTTGAGCGGCATCGCGGTCGGCGTAACTGCGTGGTGCATTATGGGTAAATTTCCCCTCTAAATCTAGCACAAAAATTTCCTCGCTAAATCTAGCGGGGAATCACAAGGGGGGGGGGGGGGGGGGGTCACGTGACCCCCTCTCCCGGGGTCACGCGACCCTCAGTACCCTTCCCTATGAACCAACTGGCCCAACTCACCATTTTGTTACCCTTCCCTACTTCTCCTCGAGAGCTGCGCTCTAATTCGGCGTTACTGGGAGTTGTAAACAGCTTTCTTTTTTTTTTTTCCTGACATTCTTTATTCTAGCCTTGTGTATTTAGAAAATACAGTTTAGTTTGAATTTTCATTTCCAATTAAAAGAGGCATTGCTGCAGGTCCCCAACAGCTTCCTCACCCTCGAAACTTCCTACAGCTGGACTCAGGCAACAGAGAAAAACAAGAGGAACAGCAAGCGTTCAAACAACTGTCCAGTGGTGGAAGCTGCACTAGTAGCAGAAAATGTAGAACCTGTGAAGGGTGACAGTTTGCGTGAGAATAGCTTCTGGTATTTTAGTTTCAGGACAATTTTATTTAGCTAAAATCTAAATTTTAGAGCCTGAGAAACTAATAACAGCCTAAACACCTTCACATACATTTGTTGTACATTACTTGAGTGACATTATAAACAATTCCACAGATACCACCAGTGGAGTTCATTGGAATACTATCCAAATCCAGCAAAGGCCAAATGCAAGCAGTATAAACATACATAAAGAAATAATTGTACATGCCTGTGTTCCTTCATTCTTTACTTTGCCCCTGTACTTGGGGTGTATCACTTGTGATTCTCCCTTTATGGCCCAGACTATACTTAACATATCGCTGGAGCAGCAGCATGCAGCTTTTCTGCTTTGGCATTTTTGTTTAGAAGCAGAGATACAAAAAAAACGCAATAGTATACATAAACTGCCAATTCATTGAGACCATCAGCAGCATTGATTGTGTGAGATGTAAATCTATAGTGATGCTCCTGCAGTTGTGGCCATATTTCTTCATTTTCATATACCAGCTGTGATTCATGCATTGCTTGCCCTGTCAACCATGCCTGAAATGTTGGTTAAAGTTTCGCCTGCAGCTACAGGCCATACCTCAATAAAGTCATATCAAAAATTTACACTTCCTAAAAAAAATGTGTGCAAACAAAATTAAATACAAACTAGTGCACCGACAACCAGTGCTTAAAGTCTCCCGCAAGCTGAGGGAGGTCCCTAAAAAAAGGTTGGGGGGAGGGGGGGGGGGGGGGGGGGGGGAAGGTCTGACGAGATGCACTAGATTACTAGATGCACATAAAATAAACCCCACTGCTGACTCTCCCACTCTGCACCTGCAACCCTCAGATTGATAATACCCAATTAAATGTTACATCCCCGAAAACAAAGCTATTTACTGAAAGATATATTTATATTTCACTAATACTGGGGCTGTGGAGGAGGGTCTCAGACCATCCTTTAAAATCAGTGGGGGGTCTGAGACCCCTTGAGACCCCCCAGACTTTAAGCCCTGCCGACAACTGACGTCGTCGCACACTCTACAGGGCAAGTGGGGCGAGTCAGGGAAAAATCCTGTCCTCGACGTCAATCCTGTCCTCGACGGAAGCACATCTTATAGACTGGAAAGCCTGGTACTAATGTTTTAATGCAACTTGCGTTGCCTCCCTGATCATTATATGCTTCATCTCCTCAGGCTCATTGACTCAATGCAGACCACAGTTTCAAAGTCGCTCATTGTATTTGTCTTGTTTTCAGCCTGTCGCTCGCCGTACCATTTGCACTGAATAAGCAAATCCCCGAAAGAGGAAGATGGGAAACAACAGTTTTCTTTTATGATTATTTTTTTTTCTTGAAGCTAATCTTATCATCCCAACCAATTTGTTTCGACAATCTCTGAATAACGAAAGCGACACTTCGATCCTTGAAGAGCCACAGCTTGGCCACTCCTGGACTGGAAGTTTAACCGATCTGGGAATGTCTTGTTGCAGACACTGCAACCTTTCTGGTGGTCGAGTTCAGCGAGGTTGAGGCTGTTCGCTCGCACAACAAAACAGGTGTGGTGATCGATGTGCGTGAGCCCGAAGAGCTGGAAACGGATGGCCGGATCCCGAATTTTCACAACATTCCCCGTAAGTATGGAGTTGGACCTTTTTGTTTCTGTGTCCGAAATACTTTTTTGGTGAGGCCTTACGGGTACTCATGCAGCCAAATTTTCTGAGTTTGTGCCATTTGTTCAATACTCCATTGCTCTGTGTTCTATGCTTATTGTCAATCTTCTTTTTTTTCGTGCTGAATGTACTCTTTTTAAGAAAATTTGAGTCCACACTTCTAAAGGCTTTGTATAAGGCCATTCAAGGAAGCCCGAAAAAAGTGTTGCTGTTACAGCATGCACCTCGTCACAACAGGTTGCAACGTTTTCCTCAAATTTGAGAAACATGGGCATGTATGAGATGTTTAACCGCTTAACAGTTTTTAATTTTCTAGAATTTCTGATCTCCAACTGCTTAATTGTTGTCTTCAGAATCAAATTTGTTGGCTTTGATATCATATTTCTAGCCACAAATGGAATAGGAGCAAAATTTAAAAAAATTCAATGCTTCCATCTGTTGCCAGAGCCACAAACTAAGCCATAAGCGAGCCTGGTTAGTCCAAAACGGTTGAGTGCAGGAACCGTGGAAAGCAGACGAGCTATACTCATCCTGAACGGTTCGGGGACGGCTCCACGTTGACAAGTTAGGCTCGTCCAAAACGGTTAAGGGGTTAAAAAGAGAAAGATATAAATTTCAAACTCCGGTTGAAATGTGTAGCAAGGCATGTAGTTGGGCTAGTTGGTGGTACATACTGTTTGGAGGGAACAGCGCAAAAAGGACGTAGGACGAGGTTGAAGAAACACACAGACAGGGCGCTGACTTACAACTGAAAGTTTATTGCTCTGAAGAAAGAGAAATAAACACAGAAAGGAGGAAGGGGAGACAACAAACAAATCAAACCAATAACATGCTGCATCACCCACGCCCACGCTCCGTCACACGAACCTGCCATACTTTCTTACAAAATCCACCTCGTCATTTGCAAGGGCAACCGAAGGAGCGCTCACACACGTCTCAGCTCCGATAGACGCAATAAAAAATGCTTCGTCTATCTCCCTCGCAGTTTTGTTTTTGTGATGAGACAAAATCTTTATGTCACGAAATGACGCCGTGCAGCCACACCTGTCACAATGAACCGCTAGGTTTCCTGAGGGCGAGGAACGCAAAGAAAGGGAATGTTCCCTTGCCCTTACGTTTACACAACGCCCGGTTTGACCAATGTACACCCTGCCGCAGGACAGGGGAATCTGGTACACGACCCCGCTTACACAGGCGACGTACGGGGTGCAATGTTTGACGTCGCACACAACGGAAGGGCGTCCCTCTCCACTAACAGCAGCACAAAGGTGTGAAAGCTTAGATGGCGCCGAGAAGACGACAGGCACCTCAAACCTACCGGCAACGCGCTTAATTCGGTGGGACAAGGCATGGATATACGGAAGTACGACAGGTCTAGTGGATGGCCTTTGTTTTTTCCCAAGACTAGCGTGCCCCCTAAACATCCGAACAAGGGACTCAGCAACACCCCCCCCCAACCGCTGAAAGGAAGCCCGCAGAGGCAAGCCTATCAACCTGAGTCATAAAACTTGACCCACACCTATGGTGACATGATTTTAACAAAGACGCCCTGAGGCACGACTCAGCAATAGCCCTTTTCATCAATTTTGAGTGTGCCGAGTCATAAGGAAGTAATCCCTTCTTTGATCTAGGATCATTCATCCTTCTTTGATCTAGGATCATATCTAGGATCATCATAGGCCCAGCACACGTCACATGTGTGCTGGGCCTATGATCCTAGATCAAAGAAGGGATTACTTCCTTATGACTCTGCACACTCAAAATTGGTGAAAAGGGCTATTGCTGGGTCGTGCCTCAGGGCGTCTTTGTTAAAATCATGTCACCATAGGTGTGGGTCAAGTTTTATGACTCAGGTTGATAGGCTTGCCTCTGCGGGCTTCCCTTCGGCGGTTCTGGGGGGTGTTGCTGAGTCCCTTGTTCGGATGTTTAGGGGGCACGCTATTCCTGGGAAAAAACAAAGGCCGTCCACTAGACCTGTCATACTTCCGTATATTCATGCCTTGTCCCACCGAATTAAGCGCGTTGCCGGTAGGTTTGAGGTGCCTGTCGTCTTCTCGGCGCCATCTAAGCTTTCACACCTTTGTGCTGCTGTTAGTAGAGAGGGGGACGCCCTTCCGTTGTGTGCGACGTCAAACATCGCACCCCGTACGTCGCCTGTGTAAGCGGGGTCGTGTACCAGATTCCCCTGTCCTGCGGCAGGGTGTATATTGGTTAAACCAGGCGTTGTGTAAACGTAAGGGCAAGGAAACATTCCCTTTCTTTGCGTTCCTCGCCCTCAGGAAACCTAGCGGTTCATTGTGACAGGTGTGGCTGCACGGCGTTATTTCGTGACATAAAGATTTTGTCTCATCACAAAAACAAAACTGCGAGGGAGATAGACAAAGCGTTTTTTATTGCGTCTATCGGAGCTGACACGTGTGTGAGCGCTCCTTCGGTTGCCCTTGCAAATGACGAGGTGGATTTTGTAAGAAAGTGTGGCAGGTTCGTGTGACGGAGCGTGGGCGTGGGTGATGCAGCACGTTATTGGTTTGATTTGTTTGTTGTCTCCCCTTCCTCCTTTCTGTGTTTATTTCTCTTTCTTCAGAGCAATAAACTTTCAGTTGTAAGTCAGCGCCCTGTCGGTGTGTTTCTTCGACCTCGTCCTATGTCCTTTTTGCGCTGTTCCCTCCAAACAGTTGAAATGTGTAGTTGCTATGTTTGGAATCTATCAAAGATTTGTTCGGTACTGTTGGAAGCACGACTAACAGCAGCCATAACTAATAGCTTGTGTGACATGGGTTGAGAGTTCCGAAGATAGGGTCAAACTTCTTGAAGGTTATGTTAAAGATGGCTAACTGCATAAGATTATTATCGTCAAGGTGCCACCATGAGCTAAATATTTCACCCTTTTACATACAGGTATGTTTAAATGTTTTTCTCACACCATTCAAATTTAGAACTCATTGCCTGGTAACATTCATGCATTTATTTATTTGTGCCCTTAGGGCCCAGAGGAATTACAGAAAGGGTAAAATAAAAAGTAAAAAAGTAAACAAAACAAGAAAATCATAAAACAGGTCCTAGTAATCAAGTTACAGCATTTTTAAGATCAACAAGATTAAGAATTCTGGCAATGGATATGGAAAGGTGATTCCAGAGTGTACGTATTAATGTGACACTGTGAAATTTCGACTTTATGTAGATGATAGTTGTCTCTATCTTCAGAACAATTTTTGACTGTCATTTGTTGATCTTGTTTGTTTAACATTGTCCGTTTCTTGTGTACCTTTTTCTCCTGCAATAACCTTATGGGGCTAATGATAGATGTATAAATGAAAACATACATATAGCTTGGACAAGTGCATCATTTGGTTGACCTGTTAAAAGGAACACCATTGCACTCTTTACTGCCAAGGCAATTTCTGCCTCCAGTGTGTAGCGTTATTGATGCCAGATTTCAGTGGGTCACCTTTAGGTCTGCTATCATTTTTGGCCTGTTCCCAATTTTCGCAAGAAATTCTAATCCTTAGAAACCTGTTGGCACGCTTACACAAACATAATTGCTAAATTTGTGTTGTTTTTGTTGTTTTCTGTTTGTTTGTTTTTTGTGCGTCTGCAATTGTTACGCAATCCAATGAAGGAAGCGAAGTGACCGGCCAATTGGCTCTTAGCCAACTACATGTTTACAATTTAGAATTGTTTTTGACCAGGTTGCAATTGGTTAAGAGAGGAAACAGGCAATCTTATTTGTTTAAATTGCTCTCTAGGAGAGGTAGAGAAAGTGGCGTGAGCGATCTCCATTGGTGCCTCCAGAGCAGAACTAGGCGTCAAAGAGTGAAATTGTGAGCTTATGCCACTTCTATGTCATACACACGACTTATGGGGGTCCTGCATGGATGCGGTGTATGCAGTGACTGGGTGAAACCCACCCAACGAAGCTATGTAGTCCACCCTTGCAAGTTTCAGTGTGCCATATTTTTCGGACTATATTCTGCACACTATACATGTTTAAAAGTTTAAATTTTACCTAGTGTGGGCTATACAAGTATTTGTTTTTTCCTAAATCTTTCACTGTGATAATACAGGAAAGATTTTATTAATAACAGAGTATATTAATGTTTATTTATGTATGATGCAAGCTTTGTGTGCCAATACAGCAGGAATTTGTCAATCTATGCTGTGTATTATAATTGTTAAGTTCGGATTGGGCATTGAGTGCAGACTATAGACATATTTTACAAGGGCACTGCCATCTTGAAATATCGTCACTTCCAGTATGGGCGAAAACATTGTTTTATTGTCGCCACGCCAATAGAATACATTTAGGACATAAGCGTAACCGTCACCCATTTTCGGTTTGTCTTCCCTTTATTTTTTTACTATTGGCATGTTGAAATGTTTTATTATTTTTTCATCGGCCTTACTGGATATGCTTACCAGGTAGCTGAGGACAAGAGTAAGGGTAAAAGGTCTATACACGTTTGCAAGTCTGGCTTCAGGGCTCCGCCATCTTGTTCAGTTGGGGTGCACTGAGCGCTTCATAATCCGATTACATAGCCTTGCTAAGGTGTTGTAATCGGATTATGGCCACACCCAAGTGCACCCCAACTGAGCAAGATGGCGGTGCTCTGAGACCAAACTTGCAACATGTATAGTCCGGATAATATGGTAATTTTAAAATGTATGAATTTTTAAAATGCCACTGTTTAATTCCAGTACGCCCTTGTTCTAAATGTGTTTGTTGTTTAATTCACGGTTGTATTTCAAGAAACCTGCTGTACCAGCAGAAAAGTGGGGAAGAAGTCAAACTGCCCCCTCACCCTCCCCTTTCCCCTCCCCAAAGCCAAAAAAGCCTGGGGATTACAATAAGTTTGGCAAAAGACCTTTGGACAGATTCAAGGGCATTGTAGGGATTTGCAATGGTTGTAAAAACAAGCTGGCAATAAGTACAACAAAAGCATATTTACAGATGTTAGACTTAAAAATTATGCAGCACCCCTACAGCACCCCTGTGTATTGTCGTGGGAAAGGTTTCCGACACCTTCTCATTCAATGTCCATGCAAATTTACACTGGCTGGAGTTTTGCTTGATCATGTAATCCTTTAATCTGCTGCATTAGCTGTGCTCTATAACTTTCCTGGGGCATTTTAGAAAAAGTGAAGAGAGCTCAGGAGGTACAGTGGTGTGCTCAACTGTTGAAGGGGCACTCCAACAATTTTTTGAGGTGCCCCAACTAACTATATTTTCTGAGTCCCCGGCATTTACCGTTTTTTGTATAAACTATTTAGTATTGCAAAATTCATGAGAGTTATGGTGAAATCAGCAAATGAAAATGTTGCAAAAATCAACATTCAAACATAACCACACTTTTTGGTGCTGTCACAGCAGTGAAAGGCAGGCTTGCCGGTTGGACAAGCTGTCTAAAAAATAGAGTATGCCAAACATTTGTTTCCTGCTGCTGTGCTGGTGCTGGAGCAAACTTCCAAAGCATTCATTTGATGCCATAAAACTGCTTGTCATCATTTGGGAACAAAATCTACAGTCCAAGGAGTGAACCAATGCCTTCCACTGGCTTCACTTTTTTGTTGTTGCCAATAGAAACTTTTAGTTTGAAAAACATGGTTAGTACCAAAATAGTAAATTCCATAACTTCGCAAGAAAAAAATGTTCAAGGCACACCTAAGCACTTGTTATGAGTTGTGAATGCGAAAGCATGCAAGTTGCTCGTCCTTTCCCTTTTTCATCTGCTGCATACTTTTCGTTGCCGGTCAGCACGCGTGCTCCCCTGGGCACGCTGACCTTGGACGCTCCGTGTTAATGGCGCGCTGATGGACACGCAACGCCATGGGGTGAGCGGTCGTGGAAACTTACGAGCGCAGCGGCCAATGCGAGCCTCGTCGACGCACGCCAGCCAATGGAATTGAAGGCGAAATCCTTCAGCTTTACTTTGCTCCTTTGGGATCGGGGAAACTAGGTGCAGTTTTTGCGCTTCAAACTGATGTCAGCTCGCTCTATGGGACAGTTAATGCATTAAAACTATTTTGATTCAATATTTGGGATACCATTTCAGTCATGTTCGTTGCTGTGTTTAGCTAATTTTCAGGCGAATCGGGGACCACAAAGATATCGCTGGAGGACCCTTTTAGATATAGCACGCGAGCGGTGACTGGAACTGATATTATCGCTACCCAATGATGAAAACGACGATGCTGCAGAAACAAAGAGGCTCTTCACAAGACGGTTGCCGCTCCCCAATACATGTTGCTTTTTGTTTGTTTGTTTTTTGTCGTCTTTACGTTCAATTTTTTTTTTGCTACCCGCTTTAGTGTCTTTGTACAACTGCATTGCTGATATCATCCTTGATATGCTGGTGTGAACCACAGAAGAAGGTTCTTTATGTTTGGCACATTAAAAGCATGCTATAAATGTACAATGTTACCTGTTAAAAACAAACTTCGTGCAAACACATTAAAAAGAAAAAGTGAAGATTTTTTTTACAGTAGATCTTTGTTACTTTATACTCCAGGAAGCCACAAATATTGTTTGAATTATCAGAAGTTTGAATTATAAAAACATTATTCTAAATATGCAAGATAAAATCATGATTTGCCATATGAATGGCTACACATACAGAGCAGATATTTGATTTCTTCTGCATAGGCCTATTGACCATAAGCAGGTATGCCACACATAAAACATTTGTGAAATGTATGACATAAGTTAATTTATCTCAAAATTGTTGTTTATAGTGGATTGTTTAGACAGTGTATGACAACTCAAAAGAAAATTAAGTTTGTTCATCAGGCCAAGAAATTATCTAATGTGGACCTTTAGGCAGAAGGTACATGAGTGAGGAAAACGAGTACTGCACGGCAGTTTTTATAGCAACTTGTGCGGACGCTGTGAAGAGGACCTATGCCATGCCGCCACATCACAGCGTCCGTGCAAGTTGCTGTGAAAATTTCCGCGCCCTGCTTGAGTCCCGTTGAGTGCGCTGCTCACCGAGCACCGGTGCAGTGCGGAGAAGCGACACCCATGGAAGCAAGCTCCGTGGCTGTTGCCTCTCTGCAGTGCACTGGTGCTTGGAAAGAAGCACACTCAACGGAGCCACGAGAACAAAAAGTATGAATTACACGAAAACGCCGTTCGGATTAAGCAGCTTATGAATACATTAAGAACATAGCGGGACAACCAAAATTTTGAAAGTGGTTTAAATTAAACAGAAGTATGAAATATCCAAATTTGAATTATCGCAAACTTACTGTATGTTGTCTTCTAAGCAAACATTGGTTATCACGTCCATACAGGGAGCGCAACGCTAAAAAAGGACATAGGTGTGAGATGCCAGACTGCGCCAGCAGATGATGCAGTCAGTCACTCTGGTCGATGCTCGCAGGTTATATCTAACAATTGAGAACACTGAACTATGTGTGACACTGTTAGGGCATCGGTGGCACTTTTTTGCGCTTCGAAAGAGTGTGTTGGCAGGCGTCAAATATTACCATTTAGGTTGGTGCACCAAGTGAGCACTCACACACGACCGGTTTCAATAACGGACCTTCGATTCTAAGAGACAACCGGCAGTCACTTGTTCGCGCTAACAGTGTCGCGCCATGTACGTCGCTTCGGGGTGCTGAAGCGCATGGACGCTCATAGCTTCGACCACTAAGGAAGAAGAGGGGGGTGTCTGAAGGACGACACCTCGCTACGAAGCGAGTCTGGTTTGCTCGCATTTTTGGCAAACCCCATGAGATGGCACATCGTGCAAGAGCCACTCGCCGAGCGGTCCTTATTTGTGCACATCTTTACAACGCTGCGTAGCATGCTACCATGCCTGCGTGTGAGCTCCGAATAGATGGTGCTTCTGCCAGTTGATGCTCGGAACCCGAGCAAACTTTCGCCGCTTTGGCTGGCCTTTCTCAGTCACGTCTCTCTTCCTCCATTGTAGCTTTGACTGCACCGCCTCAAAAAGTTGTCCTGGAGAATAGCTCCACACGGGAGTGGCTCATTGTGACGGGACACTTCTCATTTACTGTTGGCATCCACCTCGTTACTATACTCGGGTAGTCATTCAATTACAGTAATTGAATTACTGTAATTTAATTACTTTTTTTGTAATTGTAATTAAGTAATTTTGGACAAAATGAATTGCAATTTAATTACTTTTAGTGTCAGTAATTCCAAAATTTCAGGCACAATTACAATTACTTTTGCAAAACTTTGCGGTGCCGACGGAACCTCTCTAAAAGACTGAGCGCTTGCACAAGCGGCCTAGCTCTCGGTGAAACACTCGCACAAAGAAACTCACTCACACACGCACAACATAAATAGCGTCGCATTGTTTGTTGTTTACACTGCAAGCTGAGGGGCAATCCTCTTTGGAGCCTACCTCAACGGCGACGTGTTGCGCCATTTGCTGTGCGAGCATAAAACAATAGCGTAAACATGCCAAAATATTGAAAGAAAAAAAATTTAGCTTCAGCTTTTTTTCTAGGAATTTTTAATCGTCTATGAAGTTCTTTTTTTTTTTTGCCAGTTTTTTACGTCCCTCTTCTAGTACTGTCACATATTTGTATCTTTGTATTATTTTCAAGTTTATTTCCTGCTGGTTTTTCTTCATATACTTTTTGCATAAGCATTTTGGAGACTGACCTCGCACCTGTGAATGTTGTTACAAATGATTCGGGAGTCCCAATTCGGTTCTTATATATTTCTGAGCCACTATAATTTCAACTCAATGTAAATGATTGACAGTACTATGATGTTTGTATGTGAATGTGGTCGTATTAGGCAGATGTGGATTTTAGTTTTATACCAAAGCTTGTAAAATATTCATATATGACTAATCGTTGCATTTTTATTTGCCGGGCTAACAAACCTTTGTCAACCCAATTTTTCCTATAGCGATCTGGCGTCTTCCAGCATGCGAACTAATTAATTATTATGTAGAAAAATAAAAGAGATGTTAACACTTAATTGCCTCAAACTGTCAAGTTCCATCATGAATTTAACAAAATTCATAAAAGGAAAGTATGATATGTGGCATTTATGCAGCGATGCTTAAGCCTCCTCAAACATTGGGGCAAGGAATGAACAAATAGGTTTCATTCTATACAACCCAAATTAAAGTTACATAGCCCAAGTCTGGTCTCTCTCAAAAATAAGTAATTATAAAGTAATTGCATTACTTTTTAAAAGTAATTTGTAGTTGTAAGAATTACTTTTCAAGTAGTAGTAATTGGAATTGCAGTTAAACTACTTTTGAAGCAAGGCAATTGTAATAAATTACATTTTGAAAGTAATTTACCCATGTTTGCTCGTTACAGTGAAATCAATACCGGAGGCCTTTGAGTTGGAGCCCAAGGAATTTGAGACGAAATACAACTTTAGCAAGCCCGAGGCAGACGACGTGATCATCTTCTCGTGCCGCTCTGGAAGGAGGGCTCTGTTGGCAGCTCAGAGACTTGACAAGCTCCAAAAGTACCGCAAGTATGTTGTGCAATCACTCTGCCCGGTCCAACGCAGTGCACCGTCCTTATGGGTTAGCTCGCACATCCGTGTTTTTTGAGTGGGGAGGCCGAGCATGTCATGATCTCTCACGATTGCTGGTAGCCCTTGACGCCTCTGACCTGCGTGTATATTTTTGTAATTTTCTACGCACAATTCTTTTGCCGTGGGCTCGAAACAAATCTGACATTGTTATAAGTGACCATTTCCCATAGCTGGTGCGTAGATTTGATCCTACAAATGTCACACAAGCTTCAGTCTAATTGTACGCTGGTGGGAAGTGGCCCAGGTTTACCATATGGACAATGCCAATGGGCGTGCCAATGGGTGTGCCAGTGGTTACAAGAGATTTCAACGCACTTGGTACGGCCAAACGCAAGTGTGTGAACTGGACTTGTAGCGCTTTGCATGAAACCCTATTGATGGCATGCTCTTTATACACTCATTCTGTCCAAAGCTGTGGTTGGGCAGAGCCTTACTTAAAGCCTTTGTACCGTAAGATACCGAGCCTGCGTCCTTGTCGCAATCAACGTCCACCCCAGGGGCAGATGGAAAGGAGCCCCCCAAGGGGAAGCCCCAGGATAAAAAAAAGGGGGGGGGGGGGGGGGGTACAGAAAGAGAACACTCGCTGCACGCCTCGTTACGTGTTGAATGTTTGTTTAAACGCACGTATAAATAGTAGAGAGACATAATTGCGACATCTGCCGCTTAAAAGCGGGGTTTAAAGGGCAACTCCGCTCAATGCCGAAAAATTTAGGCTTACATGTGATTCCATTTCACAAAGCACTACTAAACAGCTCTACGTTTTCGGATTTGCGAATTGTGGAATATAATTTGTGTTATCTTAATTCAACCTTCAGCTGATACCAAAACCGAAACTTTGGTTGCGTCAAGCAACAATAGTCTCGTGCCGTCAGAGTCATGGCCACGTCACGTCGAACCACGTGGTCGTGCGACGTTTGTGAGGGCGAGGTACAGGACACGCGACAAGGGCAAGTCGCTTTGCATGGCGTGTACGGTGATGGCCCCGGGGAGAGGGAGAAGGGGAGAAGACGAAAGAGGAGAGGGGGAGCGGAGAAACAGACCAATAAGCGCGCAAACTAGCGTATTTACATTATGGTGATCACGTGGACGCCGCTGAGCCAACACCGGGAGGAGAAACTCATGACGTCATCGTTCAATTTCGGTCTGAGAAGTAAAAACAAACAGAACGTGATAATGACATAGACATGCCTCTGACGTAGTGGCTCAACGTTGGCCGCTCCAACTCCGTCGCATTGACTGCGCTGACGATTGCGCCTCACGTCGCACGCTAGAGTTGGCAGATTTCGGCAACATGGCTCATTTGAAAGTTTGCTGGCCAGTTTATTAAATATATAAACGGAATTAGATCGTAATATTTGGCATGGGGGTCTTCCTATATGATACTGAAGAGGGCTGCATAGTTTTCTAAATATCAAAAGTGAAGCGGAGTTGCCCTTTAACAGAATCTTCATTTAACTCTGTGCCCACTTTGCACAACATGGCTTGTGCAAAGTGCACAAACTATATTGTGACTATGGTTTAGGTTTTTCGGTAAATTTTGATAAACCACAAAAATTAACCCTCAAGTCGGTTTTATCAAAATCTGTCCTTGAACAAAAAAATGCAACCTATGCATCAAGAAAATCTTCATCTACAATTATAATGCAATTAAATGCAAAGGTGCAAGCAAGCTGGACAAGAATGACAACAATAATCCCTGGAGAAGGGGAGCAAGACGGACAAAGAACAAACACAAATCTCCAAACACAGCTAGGTGACTGTGCGCGACCGAAAAAGCTGTGTTTGGAGATTTGTGTTTGTCCTTTGTCCCTCTTGTTCCCCTTCTCCCTGGATTATTTTCGTCATTCTTGTCCAGCTCGCTTGCACCTTTGCATTTAATTGCATTATAATCATAACCTTAAAATTGCAAGCTTCACCCTTGTTGGTGTTAGACTGGTGGCAACTAGGGATGCCGCAAACTTTTTTCGAATCGAAGTTTCGATGATCGAATCAAGCCTGTCGAAAGGTTCGAAAGATTTCGATTTTTCGAACTTTCCATATCGAGAAATTCGACTGAAGTCAAATTTTCGAACTTGTTAAACTAAGAAGTTCGACGCTTTTCGAGATATCGAACTTATTACGCTGCAAAATTCGATGCTTGTCGAACTTTCGAATTTGATAGACAAACAAATTCAATGATTTTCGAACTTTCGAATTTCTTGCACTAAAAAGTTCGAAGCTTTTCGAACTTTCGAACTTCTTACGCTAAGAAATTCAATAATTTTGGAACTTTCGAACCTATTGATCTAAATAATTCGAAAATTGTCGCAATTCCGATTCCTGCAAAATCAAAAGTTCGATGAACTTCGAATTTTTAGGGTAAAAGTTCGAAGCTCGTCGAAATTCGTATTTTTAAGGTAAAAGTTCGAAGTTCATCGAACTTCGAAATATGGGCGGGCGGTTTCATTTGGATTTAAGCAGTGAGGTACATTCGTAATTTTTTTTCTCGCATTTTTACATGTGGTGCCGCATTCTTTGCGAAAGACAATGCCGTTTATTTCAATCATCTGGCATGCTTGGTTTTAAAGAAATGGATTCCCGAAGGAGCGAGGAAGGACGACGGGCTTTTGACAATTGTCGTTTGTAGAGATGTTCAACTTTTTTTAAGAATGATCAATGCATAACCTAGGTAAGCGTCGTCTTAAGATATGATTATTGATGTTCAAGACGAGTTTCGAAGAAATATCCGAATATGTATCTACGGGCAATTATGTCCTAAACTTGGTAATTTTTTTCGTCGAAATTGTTTGAGGTATCGCATTTAAATTGACACTACAGACAGTACATATCATTAATTTCTGAAGAATACAAATTATTGTATATATTGTTCTTTTCATGTTGAGGAATAAATTAAATCAGGGAGAAAGATTTCTAATATCGTTTAAGTTCGGCACGTCATCAAAAACAAAAAAAACATTTATTATTATTATTTTTTTCATTTCTCTTTTTTGGGACGTGTTTCTTTCAGCCTGTACACATTTTGGTAGGAGAAATTTGTTTGTAGTTCCGAGCCTCTGAATATGCAAGAATACCACACTTCCGGCGGATTTTTGATAGTTTTTTTTCCAGCTTTTTATTTTTTGCATTTATTGTTACGTTTATTTATTTATTATTTTTACCAATGGCACAGTTATTTAGGTCGAAAAGACATAGCTTTGAACTTCCAAACCACTAAGTATGTGACGAGTAGTGCCTTCTGACAACGAGTTTCTAACAATGACCATCTACGCGATCTTTTATGCAGTGACGAGCGACAGTAGCTATACATATGTATAAATAATTTCAGATTAAAATAAGCTCGACCATGGCCTCTTTTCCCGTATTGTTTTCTTTAACAGTCCGAAATATCTGGGGGGGGGGAGACCGGAGGCCCCTCCCCCCCCCCCCCCCCCCCCCCCCCGCCCCTTTTTTTTTTCCTATTCCGACGCTGCTGGTGTGGTAGAACGCTCCTCGACCTCAAGCTGTGTCGGCTTCTATGCTTTTTGCTCGGCGTTTCTTCTGTCTCCGAAAATAAACCTCCAAAGCAATTACAAACTAAAAAAAATGTCAAGGTGCAGGCGAGCTGGTGTCTGTTGATCATGATGCAAAATCCCGAGACTGGGAATGAAATTCGAAAGAAATAGTGTAAGAAGAAAGAAAAAAGGGGACAAGACAAAGTGTCAAACTCAGCTGAGTTGAGTTTGAGACGTTGTCCTGAGCTGAGTTTGAGACGCTGTCCTGTCCCCTTTTTTCTGTCTTACACTTTTTCTTTCAAATTCAATTCCCAGTCTCAGGATTTTGCATCACGTACAAACTAAACTTACTATATGCCAGCGTCACTCGGGCGGCGTTCAAGCGGATGTTTACCAGCGTGCAAGGGGGTGGGGAGGCAGTTTGCCAGATCGCTTCAAGGTTTTTCTGAGCCTCAGTGACACTCAACCACCTGCCTGCCCCTGGCCGTTTCGAACTGGATGAGTATCGTTAAACAGTACGTTCGTGTGATCACTACTGCGTGATGCACGTTAAAGACCTCCCCCCCCCCCCCGGGCTGGCGGCCACAATTACTGTTCTGCACGCGTCACTTTGCACTGGCAAATAATCCAGCACATCCGGGACACTCGTCGTCTCATTTAATTGCCTGACCAACTTCGCGCAATCTGAATATCACACCCGAACATTTCTAAACCTGATTTCGTGAAAACCAGTGAGGCGTGAAAACGTTATTTGAAACTGAAACTGGAGGCGGAACATGAAAACCGGACTTCGAACTTTGGGCACTTGGACTTTAAAGAAAATCAAAACCTAAGTTTCTTTTTCAAATTTAGCGCTAAAAGAGAGTCGAAACCTTCAAACTTTTCGAACTTTATGTGGAAAGAAATTCGAAATATTCGAATTTATCGAACTTCATGTCAATAAGAATTCGAAACGTTCGAAATTTTCGAATTTCAGATCCAAAGAAATTTGAAACATTCGATTCTCTCGAATTTAAAGTTAGGAAAGTTCGAAATCTTCGAATTTCTCAAACCTGAAGTAAACAAATATTCGAAATAATCGAACCCGAACTTTTACAAACCGTGGAAGCTTCGAACTTTTCGAATTCGAAACTTCACTATTTTTGAAAGTTGCAAATTTTTCGAATTCGAACCTCCGTACGGTCGAAAATATCGAAACCTTTCGAATTCGAACATCAGTTCGGTTCGAAAATATCGAAATCTTTCGAAATCGAACTTAGGGTGGTTCACGGCATCCCTAGTGGCAACTGATAAAACCCGCTTGCTCTACTGACGTCTAACCCCTGGTTAGCTCAGTTGGTAGAGCGCTCCACCTGTAATGGAGAGGTCCCGGGTTCGGTACCCGGACCAGGCGGATTTTTTCGGTCGGGCACCAGTCACTTAGCTGTGTTTGGAGATTTGTGTTTATCCTTTGTCCCTCTTGTTCCCCTTCTCCAGGGATTATTTTCGTCTTCATCTACAGTTTTATTTTGGCACAAAACACTGCCTTA